CCTCTTCAGCCCCAGCCTCATGAAAACTCCCATTAAAGAGAACAGGAATCTTTTTTTTAAAAAGGATTGTCAGACATTACTAGGGATGTGCACTATCCAGCAATGATGCAATCTGTAACTTGAATAGGGTGTTTCTTGGTCCAAAAAGAACAAAGTTGCTCCAAAAAAAAAAAAATGCCAGGGAGGAAAGGCTTGATATCTTTTTAAGATGATGGGTTGCTTTTAGAATTTAAAGAACATAGGTAACCAATATAGTGAAATGATTGTGTAATGCCTATTGTTTTCTAACTTCATTTTTTTGGTATTGAGGAACAGAAATAACTTAAAAGGCATTTAATACTCATACAAACAAAAACATGATAAGCATTAATCTGAAAACCTTTTTTTGCAACTTATATTAGGCAATTATTATTTCTGTGTTTAAGATTAATATTCTGTTCTCAAATTAATTAGATCTATCTTACTTGAGCAAATTACATACATCTGCCTGAAAACGGAACTGTAAAGTGGGGAAAAATTAATTGTAGTTATACAGATTGCAGCCAGCTCCCAGCTTACCATATATATTGTCAACTCATAATGTAGGAAGTTGTTGGGTGGTGTTTTTTTTGCAGGGAAGGAGAGAGTGTTTTTTTCCTATTGGTATTGAAACTTGCTGTTTGGCTTCAAGGTATTGCGATGATAAAACAGGAGGAATTATACAGGCAGAAATCTAACTTGTATAACCTTCTTGCATACAATAAAGATAACTGCTTTGTGTATATCTGAGACTTGTTTATAGTACTTTGTCTTACTGACTGGAACAATCTGTTCTCTGTCAGGATTACAGGGGGAAGGAGGGAATAGTGTAGGTATGTATACAGCCACTTGATACATGGAGAACTGTTCCAGCCTTTAGAGAGGTTGCTTTATTGGATTTGGGCATTAATTTACAGGCCTTCCATTTTAACATAGGGACAAATCTAAGGCATGTATATGTGTTTTAAGTTTGTTCATTTGAAGTTTTCCTTCCTCTGTAGAAAAGGTGAGGGATGTTTTAAGTCTGACAACATTTCTACAATATCCATCCTAAAAGATGTGCTTTCCAAAGAGGCTACTAAAAGGAAGATTAATCTCAACATATCATATGGTAAGACTTTCTTCTCTATTTTGTTGTCCTTGTCTTCATTTTATGTTCTTATCAATGGAGTATGTACTGCTCACTTGGATTTTTTTGACTCCCTGCTAGATATAAATGAAGAATCTGTGAGGCACACATTAAAGCTTATCCACCCCAAATTAGAGTATCAGCAGCTGTTGGCCAAGAAGGTTCACTTAATAGATGCTTTGAGAGTAAGTATCTGAACTCCCGTGGAAGGATTTTAGGGGGGGATTATGTTGTCAGATACCAAGATGTAGGGCTTAAGTCGGATGTGTGTCATACTGGTATCTGCTCCATTTCTATTCCCAGGACATGTATTTTACTTATCTAGGAGACAGACTTCTTCAAGGAAAATTCCCATTTGTACTATATAACTAGTGAATTAACATGTAGGATTACTGACTGATGCTGAGGATGCTTAAATCGGACAGTAGAAGGCAGCCAGCTTTATCATCTAATGTTCTCTTTCCCCCTGCTGTTATTTTCCAGTTCCTTCTTTGTCTCTTCCCACTAACCTTTGCAAGTATTTTAGGTCTGGGGGTGATCATCCAGGCCAGGTGTGACTTCCTTGCTTTGGAACTTCATCGCAGTGTGTCATAATATTTGAATTACTTGCTTTATAATCTTTTGCTCAATACCCTCCTCAACGGTTAGTCTTTGGGAGGTACCAGTTAGGCAGCTTGTTTCAGTTCTTGGACGTTTTCCAACAACCAGGATTTTACTGCCCAAAACTTGCCATCATCTCTTTTGGTATTTTTTTTGAGGGGGCAGGGAAATGAAAATGGACAACTAGTTCTCTGTTGTCCTTTAGGGGAATCAAATACTACTCGTCAGAACTCTTTGGTTAGTAGAAAAACTGACTACCAATGAAAATAATGTGTATCTTTATTATCATCAAAAGTATTTTGCTTGGGCTTGATTTGGCAAACTGGAGAGATAGAGAATAATAGAGAATTTATTCTTAATGCAATTTATATTTGTGTAATAATAATGATGTTGCACATCTTGCTTGTTCTAGGTTTTTTTTAGGCAGCAAATATTTTTTGACAAATTTTTTTTGTCACTTACTTTTTCGATAACTTGTTCAAAGGCAGTAAAATATCCCGATGACTGGTGAAAGCTGTTGTCCCAGCAGACTCATGATGCATAGCATAATTACCTTTCATCTAGAAAAGAACAAACAGCCTTTGTGGGAGTTAAAAAGATCTATACTATTGACCATCTTAAATTGGTCTGATGGTAGACTGGGGCATTTTAGAAGAGGTCTTTAAAACTTTTTGCTGTCACAAACGGAGTGATACTTTCAGAGTTTACTTTTACCCTCAGACTTTAGCATGTGCTATGCTTTCTAGGAATTCACTTATTCCGAAAATGAAGACATGGTGAAGGCTGTGAGCCTTCATTAGGCTTCATTCTGTAGAGGCTGGCTGTGGTGTGATCCTATTCTGGCAGTACTTGGAGCTGGAAGCCGTAACACTCGGGATTTTGAGAATCTGGTCTATGAAGTGACAGCTAACACCTGGCATTTCATTAGGAGATCAGAAAAAGAGGCACTTTGAAAATAACTCTTGCTAGTTTTGAAGGGGATTGTCTTGTCTCTGAAGTACTTCCTCCTGTCACACCCAGGCTTAATTTCTTCTTACTTTTATGCTCCTATGATGCTTAACTGCTATTAATTCTTACAATTTACAATGTCTTTGAGGAGTTACAAGTTCATGAAGGAAATGTGGACTTCCTGCTACCAAAATACCGCAGCATTTTGGAAGAGGCAGATCAGTTGCTTGAGGAATACAAGAGACAACCTGCACATCTCGAGAGACTTTATGGTTTGTTGATCAATTCAGCTTCTTATTTAAATGCAACTTAATGTCCAGAGAGCGTGCTGGACATGACTGAAACAGTTACAAAGTCAGTATGAGCAGAACTGAAATACTTTGGTAAGTGAGTAGACTTGGGTAGCTTCAGGACAATAGGTACATAAAGTATATATGTCTGTTTGGTCATACAGCCAGGGCTTCATATTTTACTTGGTTTTGATCATAAAAATCAGAAGTTCAATGTGAGGCACTAAAACCTACCACATACTGAAAATGGCTTGCATGCTACTCCAAACTTTGAGTAACTCTAAAGGTTCTCAAGAATTGTGCACCCTAGAACTTCTAAAGTTGTTTTGGCATCATAAGCATATCACTGAGAATTAAAATACCAGGATTATTTGCAAGTGACTTTTTTACTTTTTGTTTAATAGTCAGCTTCTTACATTTGGGTGATCCTTGTCTTTTATGGACATGATTAAGGATTGTATTCAAAATCAGGATGGTATTTAACAGTCTATACAAGTTAAATGAGTGATTAAGTGGTTTAGTGTTACAAAATATGGAAAAACAGAAAAAGGCCCATGGGTTGGAAAGGGAGACTTGTAGAAGATGATCTAATTTAGTGAAGGAAACTTCAAGCTTCTCTGGCATTCCCTGTACAGCTTTCAGATCAGAGAGTCTCTACCAGACTCTCTGATATATCTCTATCTATCTGTCCATCTGTCTATCTATCTATCTATCTTACACTATATATAGATATACATAGTGTAAGCAGAGTCCTGTGATAGTTCCTCTCTCCAGTGTTTCAGATGTGGGTAATTCTAAGGCAGAAATATAAACTTTGGAATGAAGCTGGAATCTGGGCTGTTTTAACAGTGTTTTGGGTTTCTTTAAAAGTAAATAATTGTTTAAAACGTGAAGTTTTAGAAAGAGTCTTGTCTCTAAACCCAGAATCAACTAGAACAGTTGGTAAATAATGAGGTAAAAGTAGAGATACCTCATAATGAAAACAAGGCAAATAATAAGTCCTGGGATTTTACCTTTGCAGGTATGATCACGGATCTCTTCATAGATAAATTTAAATTTAAAGGCACCAATGTGAAAACTAAAGTCCCTCTTCTTCTGGAAATTCTGGATGGCTGTGATCAAGATGGACTAATTGCTTTTTTTGAGGCTGCAGCCTGACAAGGAAAAAGCAGAGTAATTTTTCTTTTTTTTTGTTGGTTTTTGTTTTTTTAATCAAGGCAGTGTGGTATCAAGTCCAAAACACTTTTTAAGAAAAACACTTTCACTATTTTGTTGTACTGTCAGCTTTTAGGCTTTATTTATTATCATACTGGATACAGCAGTCAACTTCAGCTCCTGTAAACTGTTGTGTATGTTAAATGCGCAGAGTTTCTATGTACATAATGTTCTTCATAGTAAAGCAAACTTAGATGTAAATACTAAATGTTCTTTCTGCAACAACGGTTTCCGTACTGTTCAGGACTGCTCTCCACGTGTAAGAATGCATGAATAAACTGGTTTTTCAGAGGGCTAACCAGATTGAGAAGGAATTTGTGTGTTAATCTGTGCGTAACGGTGACATCTGCCTGCTGCCCTGAGAAAGCAACAGGGGCATCTCGCCAGCCTTGGCGGTGTGCGCGTAGGAGGGGGAGAACTGAGCATTTTGGGGGGAGGGCGGCTCCGGTTGCTCCGGGGCGTAGCGGGGCAGGGGCTGAGCTTCCTCCGGGCTTCTCCCGCGTCTCCACTTGAAAACTCCACCCTACTTCTCCCTCGTTCTTCTTTAAAACTGCAAGAGACGAGCTTGCTTGCGAATACGAAGACTCGTTCCCCCGGGAAGTGAAAAGGGAAGAAATCGGCTCCGCGGCCGCCAGGCCACGCCCCCACCCGCCAGGCCACGCCCCGCGCCTGCGTCCCCGCGGGACTCCGCCCCTCCCGCCCCCGCTCGCGCTGGCCCCTGCCGCCGCCCGTAGGCCGCGTGACGCGCCGCGGCGCCGCGCTCTCCCATTGGCCGATTCAATAGTCGCGGGCTACTTGAACGGTGAGAGCGGCGGCGCGGCGCGAGACTCGGCGGCCGCCGGCACGAGCGGCGCCCCGCTCCGGCCCCCACCGCGCTCCGCCACCGCCACCATGTTGGCGGGGCAGGAGAACCAGGAGAACGTGCCCCCGGGTGGCAAGGCGCCGCCGCCCGCCGCTGGCACCCGCGTGGCGCTGGGGCTGCTGCGGGGCGCCCAGCAGCGGCCCGGGCTGCCGCCGCAGGTGAGGCGGGGAGGGAAGGCGGGGGGGTGGGGGGGCGGCGGGCCCGAGGAGGCGAGGGGCGCCATATTGGGGCGGCGGGAGCTGTCAGCGGCGGCTGTCAGCGGCGGGGCCGGGCTCTCGGCGGCGCTGACGGGCCGCTCTCTCCGCAGGCGGCGCGGGGTAGCGGTGAGGGCCATGGCGCGGCGGGGCGGCCGGTCGGCGGGCAGCAGGCCTTCGCCATCCATGTGGACGAGCCGGACGGAGAGCAGCAGCAGCAGCAGCCGCCACGGCGGCGGGGCGGCCCGGCAACCCAGAAGGAGAAGGCGGCGGCGCCTGGGCTGCGTGCGGCCGTCTGCGGCCTGGGGGAGCGGCGGCCCCTGGCTCCCCTGGGCAACGCCATGGAGCTGAGCTTCGGTACGTGACACCCCCCCCAGGGCTCCGGCAGTCCCCGAGCACCCCCCGCCCGGGGCCCGGCTGGTGTCCCCGCCAGCCGAGCTGCCCCGGGGTCCCGTCCCGGCTGCGGTGGACCTGGGCAGCGCCCGGGCCTGCAGGGCCCTTCCCCCAGGGGGCAGGGCGGTGAGCGGGGCTGTGGCGAGGTGTTACCTAGGAAGTGGTTTCCAGAGCAAACTGGAGCAGGACTGTAGATCCTGAAGCCGTTCGGGACATGGACTGGTGCGGGGGGGGCTCGGAAGACACCTTTTCGGTTACTGCTGAAACCGATTTGGTTCCTTTGAGCCTCCTGCTGCAATACAACAGGTTTTCAGTCCAGCTGAGCTATCGATTACTTGAGCTTCTACACTTCCATCCCCTGCTCTTTGTAGGTAGTTTTATGTTTCTAACCTTAACTATCAGTACCTCACAAGAGAAACCAGATTACAGGCCAGAGCAGCCCATAAAGACTCACCCTTTGCTACCACTGTGGAGTTAAAAGGGAACTTTCCTCAGGAAGATCCTGAGACTTCATAGACTTTTCTCCCAGGCAATACCCTGTACTAGTGCAAGTGTTTTGAGCTCTTCCCAGTATGTAAGAAATGGGAGCTCTCGGATCCATCTTCTGTAACACACGTGTGAATATCTGAGGGTTGATTTCATTATGGTCCACTTTTGCAGTCTATAAAAAGCTCTGGTACTCTGCCCTGTTTTAAGCTGCAATAGCTAAGCTTACGGGAGTCACATCTGTGTAGCAAGGTAACACAGGGTGCACTGGGCACTACAAAATTGCAAAAGGAGTTTTCCATCCCTTTATTCTTAGGGGAAAGAACTAAGAGGGGAATGGGAAGCTTCCCTAGAGCCTCCCGAACTCCCAGTCTGGTTGAGTGTCTGCCCTCTCTGCCTGCCCAGGAGGCAACATACTCAGTGGTCCCGGGGGGCCACTGCTGACACCCTGCAGAGCAGGGTGCCTCCCAGTGCTGTGAGGGAGTGGTGTGACAATGCCAATTTTAACATGGCTATTACCTTCTGCTTAGATTCTCCAAGTATTATGGATATTTCAATAACCTCAGAAGCAGAAGAGAAAAAAACAAACGTTAATAACGTGCCAGACTATATCAGTGATATCCATACGTACCTTAGGGAAATGGAGGTGAGTTGCTGTCTCTTTTCTTATTTACATATATATAGCTTATAGGGGAGAAATTTGGGGTTGAGAAATACATCTAAATGTTAGTTACTACTATGGTGACTAAACTGAAGCTTGCTAGATATAAGAAAATAAGATGCTGTGAATGAAAGACTGGTTTCTTGTGATGAAGTTGATTGTGCAGTGCACTGAACAGAAGCCAGAAAGCAAGATTATGGAAATATAACTTACTGATCCTGGACTTACCATTGTTTACTTCTGATCTGTTTAAACTGTGGTAATCGGAGCTTAAACAGTTGCTTCCCTACTGGCACTTAGTCCAAACTCAATTTTATCTGTCATTTAAACCTACAGGTGAAATGCAAGCCTAAAATAGGTTACATGAGGAAGCAACCTGATATTACAAACAACATGCGGGCTATTCTTGTGGACTGGCTGGTGGAAGTTGGAGAAGAATACAAATTACAGAATGAAACCCTGCACTTAGCTGTGAATTACATTGATAGGTTTCTTTCTTCAATGTCTGTTTTGAGAGGAAAACTTCAGCTTGTGGGTACTGCAGCTATGCTGCTTGCATCGTAAGTAAAATTGCTTAATTTTAAATTCCACCTGCTGGTTTCATTCAGGTGGAAGTCTTGTGGTGATCACATTTCTGTTGCTTATAGCCAGACTGACTTGGGAGGGCTTTGCACTAGGAGAGAAATCGGGAGTTACCACCTAAAGGCTTGGTGGTTTGTATGAAACTCTGCAAGAAAGGTTCTAGGCTATCTTTGTGGATTGCCCTAATGGGAGACTTCATTGTTTCTAGCTGCAACAGCAGAAGGCTTCTGAACAGCATTTGAGGGAATATGACCAAGGCATGCAAAAAAGAAAGTTTTGCTTGTATCAATTATTAGTTTAGTGGGTTCTTCTGGAATTTCTGTAGCTGAGTCCCAAACTGCTTAGTGCTAAAATACCAGACTATCATAGCTCTGTAACTTCAAATTCTGCTGGTTCAAGAGCTACTGAACCAAGTGCAGCAAACTTGTTTGGTAGTGATGCCCAGCTACTTCACAAGTCAGAATTTCAATTTCCATGCTGGCTTTCATTAAATGTTACTGGTTATCTGTGTTTCTAGCACTCAATTATTTGCTCATAACTATTTCTCCTGGCAGAAAGTTTGAAGAAATCTATCCTCCTGAAGTAGCAGAGTTTGTCTACATCACAGATGATACCTATACCAAGAAGCAGGTTCTAAGGATGGAGCACTTAATTTTGAAGGTTTTGTCCTTTGACTTGGCAGCTCCAACAATCAACCAGTTCCTCACTCAGTATTTCCTACATCAGCAGACAAACACTAAAGTGGAGAGCCTATCAATGGTAAGAATTACTTGGCTTGTAGAGTTCTGTTACTATTAATACGCTTCACGAGCTCTGTTTCCTAGTCCCAGTAGAAAAGAAAAGAAATGCTGACAGATTCTTCAGCCCAGGCTTCCCTGCCTCTTCCTATTTGTAAGTATGTGGTGTGGGTGAGCTCTGGAGGGTGCATACAGTGTGGTGTGGCACCACTGGAAGCGAACGCTCCTGTTGCCACTGAGCGTCTCGGACGCTCTGTTCCTATCGCAGGCTGGCACTTGGTGTGCGTGCTTGAGCCAGGCCTGCTCGGAGCAGGCAGAGATTGATTAACTTTAATGTGGGGCTTGTTTCCCTGCTAGATGTTTCCCCTCTTTTCTTATCTAAAGCTGGCACACCTACTTTGTCTAAAAAAACCCTGTTGTTTTGGTTTTCCCTTCAACAAGCACTGATTCCTAAAACTGGGGCCTGATTTCTAAAGCAGAGCACAGATTAATCTTTCAGCTAAAGTTACATTAAATCCTAACGGTATGGCAGGTACCAGAGCTCCTAAATAGAAGCCTTTGTCTCATTGTGCACTCTGCCCTCTAGATCTTATATACCTCTAAATATAAAAGGTGGTGTTTAAAAAAAATGCATTGGGAACATAAATATAAAAAGTGGTGTTGAAAAAGAATGCATTGGGAACACTGTTTGTCAGTAGCTAACAGTAGATGCTAAATGAGAAAGTAAGTAGAAACTAGTAAAAGCTGTTCCTCTGCCTGATGGCAGGATTGGAAGCTTAAATTAGGGATCTGGTGTGACAGGTAAATGCTCTTCTAGTTCCTTTTGGAAGCAGGTGATTCCCTTTCTCTTGTTTCCCTTGCAGTACCTTGGGGAGCTGAGTCTAATTGATGCTGATCCTTTCCTGAAATACTTGCCATCAGTTACTGCTGCTGCAGCATTCCATCTAGCAGGCTATACGATCACTGGACAAACTTGGGTATGTAGCACTAAAACTTGAGCCTTCACACACCTTCAGGCATGTTTAAGCGTATTTGTACGTGGTTCTGAGTGCTGGGGCCTGGGCTGCAGGAGTCGCAGCCCCTCCGTGCTCCTGGGTTGTTAATTGGGGATTGCTCCCTATGATGTTGGAAAATGGCGGGGGGACACCACACACCTTTTATTGGATAGGAGGAAGAGGCATCTACTGATGCACTCCATTCTGGTGATCCTCCTCAAAGCTGTGAGCAGCTTCCTTGTGATGAGGAAGTGGGCAGTAAGAAAGCGTAAGTGCTGGAGGCAGGGAATACTTGTTTAGAATATGATAGTTTTCAGGATTACTGTAAATCTACATGAACTGCTAAAATCTGAGTAGTATTAAACTACTTTGTGCTTGAGGGAAGGACACTCTGCCAACCTACTAGAACAACAGAGTTTCAAGAGGAAGCTGAAAACTCCACCAGTGGTTGTCAGCATAAGCAAACAGAAAAACTTCAAATGTCCCTCTTCCCTTCCTTTTCCCTTAGCCTGAATCCCTGTGCAAAGTAACAGGCTATACCCTTGAAGACATCAAGCCTTGCCTCATGGACCTATACCACACCTACCTCAAAGCAGCACAGCACACACAACAGTCCATAAGGGAAAAGTACAAGAGCACAAAGTGAGTATCTGTAGAGATGTGTGATAAGCTGGTGTGTTACACTTGACTTGTCCCACTCAATGGGGCGGGGTGGTGGGGTGTATCCTGAGTCTTCAGTCAGACTCAACTAACCAAACCTTCCATGTAAGTGAAACAGTGACAAGACTCCCCGGGTTTTTACACGGTGTTTTGTTGAGCAATACTTGGGTGTTCACCACTGGGCCTGCTATCCCTGCCTGAACCATCAGGTAGGAACTGGAGGAATTTTCTTGATGTTCCTACAGTTGGTAGGCAGGAGATGGTACCTAATGCTCCTACAAATCTATGGCAGCCAACAAGCCCCAAACTGTTTCCTGCCTAGTGGGAGATGTGCTTCGCTGCAGTATGTATGCTGTTCTTCACAGCAGAGAGCACCTGAGCAAGATGACATCCTGCGTCTTTTTTTCCCCTCTCTAGGTACCATGGAGTATCGCTTATTGACCCACCAGAGACACTAAACTTATTGTAATAATCAAGAGACTGATCTTTTAAAAAGATGTATATTACAGGAAAATTATGTACAGTTTTAAACATGGTTCAAAATTCTAGATGTGATCACTCGGAATATTAATGCAGATTTTGATGAGCTTAATTATGAAGGTAGTTTTATGTGGTTTTAATGTAAATCTTTTGTACATGCAATCTTGTTAAAATATTTAGCTGGGTTTTTATAAAAATGTTCTCTTCAAGCACGGAATTAACCATGCAGACCAAGTGAAGTCTGAGACTGCTTATCTAAGTATAGGCTAAACATGAATATTAGCAGTGCATTATTATAGTAGGGCTTAATCTTGTGTGGAAGGAGAAAGACTTGGGCTCCGCATCAGTATTTGTAGCATTTTTATAGTCTAGTTTAAACTGGGACTTAGCCATTAAGCCACATTCTTATTCTATATTGTAATACTGGAAGAAACTATGTAGCTATGAGGAGAACACCTTGCTGGAATTGAGTCTTGCGAGACTCTTTAGGATGTGCAAGTTACTGGAAGCCTGGATTGCTGTGTATTGCATTGCCAGACCTCCGTCAGGTTGAACACTCTGCTGCAGGGACTACTCAGCTAAAACCACTATACCAGTTCATACGTCTCTTCCAGTACGTAGAAACTGGTCTTGCTACAGGCATTTGCTAGTCAAAGTGTAAAACTGATCCTGATTTAAACCCATGGAGTTCCTATTGATGTGTTAGCTCTCCTGAAAACCGATCCATATCTACTAAAATAAATGAGTCATGAGTCTGCTTATCTAGTACCTCTGTAGGGATGGTGGAGGGATTAAACTGCAGGAGGGCGAACTACTGCTCCGTGCCCTCTGAGGGAATGTCTGGTGCGGGTGGGCCATGTGCAGAATTCTGTACATCCCTCTTGCTTGGGAAGGCTTCCTCTGCGGCATGCAGCAAAAACATAGACCAACGGGTCTTATTTTTTCGTAGTTGTAGAACCATTGCATGAGCAAACTAGCACCTAATCGGCATTAGATCAAGTAGTTTACCTTCAACCTGTGTAAATGGAGTGATGCTGCCCTGTACCTGCTGTTCTTTGCATGTAAAACAGTGAGTGCATGGAAGTGTGTTTAATTAAGCCATTTCCAGGTTGGCTAATAAAACAATTTTTACATCTGATGTTAGTGGTCTTGCCAATACCTTAAAACCACAGAGGAGTAGTACTACCATCTTAAACTGGCATTAATTTCTAAAGCTTTTTGGCAAGGGCTGCCCTGTGAATCCTGTGCCACTTCAACTTGGAAGTTGATTCAACGCTGTCCGTCGGGTTGTCTGGATGCCCAGCAGGTAGCAGTACAAATTCTTCACAGCTGTCGAACAGCTGTTACGGTGTGGGCTACTTAAAATATATTTTTAAAAAAATCAGCCCTTTGTCAAGCTGGCAAGCACATGCTTGAGTGAGACAATTTGCTTGTCCCAACTAAAAACTTGTTCTGCGCCCACCCCTGCTCTGCAGTCTGAGCCCTCCGTGAATGAACTCCGTCACAAACCTGCTCAAGCTGAGCCGTGGTGGCTTATTCAGTCAAGACAAAAGTACGCAGCAGAGGCTGCCTTGTTCTGGCCAATCTGAGCTTTTTAGGATGCACTTTTGACTTATACACATTTCCAAATGTTTAATGAAAAAAAAAAAAAACAGATTTTGTTGGTCTACCAGGTTTTCCACTAGCCTTCCTTTAGCTTAATTTCAGTAGGTTGCCACCAAAAAGCTAAAACTAGGTGGGGAAGAAACTGTGCAGGGTATTGTGTCTGGTGCTGAGTCTGGAAATGCTCTAACTTGGCAGGAGAGGCAGGCTTGTAGGTACAGCAACACGTTTGCCACGCTGTTAGCATCAGTTTGTGATCTTGGGAGGCCAACTCCAAAGGTTGGCTGGCAATTACTGTTTGAAGATGAGTGTGCAGCGTTCTTCCTGAGAAACGGGGTTCTGCTGTCCCCTTTGTGGGGTGTATGCTGGAAACTTCCCAAGACCACTGACAACTACCAACGTTCCAGTAGAGGACTAAACTAAAGGAGGCTTATAAATTACGTTCCCCAGAAAAGAGCATAGTGGAAGAACTTTAGGGAGAAGACTTCAGTGGTTTCTTGTTCAATTTTCAATGGAAGGTGTTCTGTTACTGTTCCTGTAACACAGAGAAAAATTCTCCCTTGCTCCCTGAGCTATACTTCCAACATACCACTAGGACTTCCTCTACAGCCTCACAAAACACTTCAGCCATGGGTTGGCCTCTGCCCACTTTGGTGATGTTCCTCCTTCCTCACCTACAGCTCTAACTGCAGCAGGAAGTACCATCTTCTTACATCTTCTCATTTTCTGAAGTTAACATGGGACACTTCCAGCTCTGGGTACCAAGCGTTGAACAAAATTATTCCAGGCTGTACTGTACTACTGTTTTGCCTATTCAGTTTAACTTCTGGTCCTTTCAAAATGAAGCCTCTGAGGAATGCAGGGTTTGAGAGGGTATGTGTGTGGAGAGAAACAATAGTACAAAGAATACTGTTTCCTGAAGAAGTTTTAAGGTCTCGTGGTACAGTGGAAGTAAGAAGAAACAGAATCTTCACTCATTCTTGTACTCTGGACGGTCCCTTGGACTTGGAAGCTCTGATGCTAGAACACACTGGTTTAGCTCCTGGAGGCATGGGGCTTTCTGTGTTTATCCTTTTCTGAAAGAGCACAACAGTAACTTCTCTCCTGTTTGTATTTCATTAAATACTCTGGTCACATGTAAAGCAGTCCTACTCTGCTCTTGTAAATATGTGCATGTTTCCAATTTGACTTGGCTTTCAAACAGAGTAGCTAGGTCAGACATTTCAGAGCCTTCCTTGTATCTTTGTTTTGCCCAATTCCGAATTCAGAGCACAATTCTTTGACAACAGTTCAAGAAACATTCCTGTCTGTTGCATGTAATATTTAATTAAACTTTTTAAGAAACTGCACTGTTGAAGTATGAGTTGCTTCTCTAAAAGCTCTGCAGAAATTCTGTGCTGTTTTGTTGGTTTTTATCCAAAGCCCTTTCGGTGAAAGGTAAGGTGCAGGGACAGGGGCAAGGTCTTAAGTCACAGCACACCATTTTTCCCACCAAAGAACATTCCATGCTGTCACGCACTTCCAAGGTGTGCAATATCTACCTTAATTAAAAGAAGCTTTTCCTGGCATTGCACTTGAGCCATAATTTCTTTTACCACAACTGACTATACACACATCACTTCAGTGGTGGCAGTATTTTGTTAGAAAAACTCTCCCTCTTACATCTGCAATTCAAGGTGTGGAAGTAGTGAGTTTGCTGCTGCTGGATGCTAACCATGGAATTTCACTTACATGCAAGTTTTTTTATTTAAAGCTGTGTACAACAGTTTTATAAAATATACATAAAAGCAAGACGAGGTGGGAGGAAATAAAATTATCTACAAACATAAGTTCAGCAATAATAGACCAAATTATGTATTATACAGCATTTCTGAAGGAGGGATGATGGCTTTAATGAGCAGCTCTCTTCTTTCTTCTCCTTTTGTTAAATGCTTTCTTACTTGTATTTTCTTGTTTCGAGTTGGTCTGTGCTCTGTGAGAAGAAAACAACATTCGTATCAGAGAAATGTACTGAATAGTTTTATTTCAAAAGAACACAGGCTGATTATCTGTAACAGGGCAAGCACCCACCACGCCTAGTGCAAAGATCAAACTCAGTTTCTAGAAAGCGTAATACACACAACAATGAGGGTGTCCAGGGCTCGGGCAAGGACACAGCAATAAATCTCACTTTTCAGAGATAAAAACTTAAGATCAGCTGTAATGTAATGTGTAGAATCACTGCAGCATCTCAAAGGAGCAGCTGATTCAAATCCACTTTTATGCTCTCACTCCCTTTGGAATGATGCAGATCAGTCAAGTATCCGTAAGCGTTTTAGACAGCTGCAAGTGAGCCAGGGAGACTGGCCTCCCCGGACAGGAGCCAACTAGCCTGGATTTAAGCTTCCTTGCTCTTGGCTATCTCTAGTTCCCCTTGATCAATCAAGGCCTTTCTTGGCCTTGCCAAAATCCTGTCCTTCCTAAAAACACTCCTTACAAACTCCTTTCCCCTCCTAATTTCACATGACGGTTACCTTGTTTTCTTTGGTACTGCCTGTGGTTCCAGAACAACTACTTCTTCCTCTTCACTGTCGGACAGTACAATAGGTTCATCTGAAAAAACAAACCAACCAACCACAAACCATCAATCAGTTTTGTACAAGCAACTTCTGTAACCAATAACCACAGCATTTTTAAAGCAACATTCAGAAGGGCAAGTGTTTAATTCTGAGCTTTCCATATACTACAGAAATAGTTTTCTTTTGAAGAAAACAGAAGTGACCAGGTGAAGTGAAAGTAGCAAGTGGGTGTAACTCTTAAGTGGAACGTGGCTACAGTGATTCTCCTTTCTTGCTTAGGACGTCTTTCACATTTTTATTCTAGACTGGTAAAGTGATATAATAAACATATCTGGTATCAAGGTAAGTACATACTTACCCTTCTTAGTTTCCCCCATTGTACTTGTATCCTCAGTTTCCATTTTCTGACATTCAAAAGCAGTAGCCTCACTTTCACCTTCCTCTTCCACTGCTTCTTCCCTCTCAGATTCTTCAAGGTCTCCCCAGGCGTTCTCTATTCCTTCCCCAATTTGGGCTGTCCCAGGAGTATGCAATATTGGTTTGGTAAAACTGAAGTAGTCAAGAAAAATCTTGGTGTTTGGTGGTTAACTTTATATTCTGAGAGCAAAGCAGCTGGTTTTTTAAGCTGTACCTTTTCTCCCCAAGGGAGAACACGCTTAAAGGGGGATTTGAGAGGGAAGAGTACTTCTCCAATTACTGTACCAGTCAGACACTTCAGACCCCAGTTCTTCACTTTAGTCTAAGAATTAAGATACCTAAAACCAGTTAGAACCAGAACCAATATGATGTTGATATTTCCTCTGAAGGCCATAAGGACCTAAGCTCCGAGGAACCCTGGATGTGTGTTCAGCTTCTAGCAGAGCTAACGCAGGGGATGGGAAGCCTGGTTTTCTCCTGAATAATACAACCAAAAAGATACACTTCTGAAGGAGGGTCAGCTTTAGTGATGATTTCTTCTGCTTGTTCCTCCACATTGTTGGTATCAACAGCAGCACTTTCCATTTTGAAGGCAGTGATCTTTTGATTCGGTATAGATTCTGCAAAGCCAAACTTCCCACCTTCTTTCCTAGTCAATGTCAGACATTCTTTCAAGATGTTTCACACTTAAAAGAGTGTGCTTTCTCTTTTCAAGTCCAAATATACAAACACTTGGTATTTAAAACAAATACAAGTGAAAACAATCTGCTGTTCAAACTACAGGTTGACACTACTTTTTAGTAAATTTCTTAAAAATACCCATTTTCCTTCCCAAAACACTCACCTAACTTTCTGGTCGTTTTCCAAGGCTTTCTGAATTAATTCTGTTATTTCTGCAACCTTAACAGCTGTTATTTTACTGCATCTCAGAACCTGTTTGTTACACATACAACAACAGTTTACAATCATGAAAGCACGATGTTTTTAACTAAAATGGTAGAACATCATAGCAGTCACACAAACACTTAAAATATGACATCTTGGTACGAGGGACTGGATATATGGTGAGTTGATGCAAAAGGTTATAACAGCCTCTAGCTATTTGTGAGTGCAGCCTGAATTAATTTACAGATTCCCTCGGCCAAATCACAGGGAAAAAAAGACACACATATCTCACCAATATGCCTTTTCTACATCTCTTCTTCAGCATGATACACAGTACTACGCTCTTCTGCAAGGACTAAAGATATATCATCTTTTCCCATTAAATCAGACAGGTAACTGATTTCTTAGCTTCCAAGTAGCAAGGGTATTTCAGTATGAAGATTACAGCACACGAACTAGTTTATATACAAGAGAAGGACTGGTCATGGCAGAGATTTACCTGATCCTTTACCAGCATAACCCCTCCACTGGACTGGATGGTGCAAATTTCACGGTGTTTATTCATGGCAATTACAAGGAAGCCATCCATTACACATTCCTCACGTTCACTTGGATCCACCAATAAATACGTCCTAGAATCGTGTTTTTAAATATAAGGCAACAGTAAAAGTTTGAGGTGAGTTACTATCCTTAAAATAATTAAACAAAGGAATTAGTTTACGTAGTAGTAATTATGGGTATACGCCCCCCCAAAAAAGTTTTCTACATCATCTGTGGAAAGCTGTTGGTTAGTTACACTGTGCAGAACACATAAATATCTCCCCGTGGCACATCACTTCAGATAAAACGTTTTAAGAAATAGGCTTGTCAATATAAATATTCTTAGGACTCTTCTATGTTTAAGATAAATTCTGCAGAATTGATAATAAGCTGTTTCTGTCAAAAGACTTAAAAATCTTACCCTTGCTGGAAGAAAGCAAAACTGACACAAATAGGCATGTGGTGGATAGTCAAAGGGACAGGATCACGTTCCTCAGGAGTGTACTTTGGAAAGAATTGGCCCAGAAGACAGTTATTGGCAAAACACATTTAATTTTTAAATTATGTTCTGTACAAAGACATTTAAAGAAAGAAACAAACAAACAAAAAAAGACTAACAAATGTTTAGTCATTTCCATATTCAAAAAATTCCTTTTTAATCTTCTTGTGCAATTCTTACTGTTTACTACAAACACGGGTAAATACAGCACATACATCAGCCTTATGCTTGATTTGGTCAAAATACTGTAAAATACTTGTCTCTGACAATTAATATTCCCCTAAACTGAGGCTGATAAAGTTCTGCATTCGGCAGGCTTCCCTAATATCCTTTCACATTTTGAATAGCAACACATCTATCCTAAAACTTAAGTACCTTGAAGTTTATTCGCTTATCCAAGCGTTTAATTCTCCATTTTAGACAGAAAGAAACAAGCTACCTGCGATGCCACAACAGTTACGTTGATCTGGTACAACTTACCACAGTTACTTCCTCTCCTTGTACAGACACATCTGGTCTGCGAAAATGACTCAGAGCAACAATTCCTGCGATGCTGGCAGCATCAATAATGTTACCATCATGATTCAGAAGGTGCAGGTCCAGACGAATTTGCCAAACCTGAGAAAAAGCACACATAACTGCTTGGTAATTTGTGAGGTGATTCTACAGAAGTTATTTTTTTTTCAAAACAATTTAATTTTTTAAACCATACAAAGAAGCCACACATACTCTTCAGGTCTTTGTTTAAGACAACAAAAGATCTCAGTATATTCCAAGACACCCAGTATGCCAGATTTAATTATGACAAAATATGTAACACTTAAGTACAATTTAAACTTTATTCTTCAAAGAAGTATTTGAGTGCGCAGGGTCTCAACTACTTCAGAAAGCCTATGTAGATATGTAAGTTAAAAATATCTGTAAAGTCAGGTGTGTGGATCTTTACATTAACCTAAAATCAGAATTTCTAGTTTCCAAAACAAGACAAAGACCACCTTCAAAACAGACCATATGTATCCTGTAGTGTAAAACCACTTGAAGTTAGTAGGTTTTCATACCTTTTCACCAGCAATGACGCAGAGTGATTCAGTATCTATACATCTGGAATTTCTCAGGCATCGTTCTATTAGTCTGTTCAGCTTCACCAGTAACTCAGATTGCCTGTTAAAACAAAATTAACCCAAATTGAGTAAGATTACACTATGTTTTTCATGCATCAAAACAGTGGCTCTTATGTCACCTTCGTTTAGTCATTTTAAGAAAACTACATACCTGCCAGGCTCAAAACCAGGTGCAGCCATTGGTGAGAGCTCAAGATTAAAGAAAAGTATACCTTCTGTGGGCTGATTTGGCTTGGGGGGAACAAGTTCACATGAGACTTGTGCAAGAACTCTGCAAAGGTAAATAAACCACTCGGTCATGGAATTTAGCAGGAAAAAACTCCCTATCACTAGAAACAAAATACATACTCTTAAAAAGCATGTGATTAAGCTCTTAGTTTGTCTTTCTCACTCCTGACAGTTTCTCATTCAATCTCTGTCATACATATATAAACTCTGGTCAAAAACTGAGAGAACCAAATGTATTAGAACATTCTCCTATCTTCTATGATTAAAAACAGACTCAAACACTTGAGAATCTATAACTAAATGTTTATGTAAGTGCACAGATTCCTCTTTTCCACATACAAAAACGGGCTGTTTGATTTGTGGAAAAATGCAAAATGTCATGTGAGGTCAGTGAACAAAGGGATGAAAAGTTATAATAATTTTGTATTTTATTCACTTTGTAACCTACAATCAACATGGAAACCCCATCCCTTCCCACTCCTCCTCTACAGTCCTATCCTTGAATTCCGATGCATTTTAGGCTTCAGACCTTAAAATCTGTTTACTGGGATCTTAGCAGGCTTTCAGACGCCTAACATTCAACGCTATGCACTCCGTTTGCTTCCACAGATCTGGAACCGTAACGCTTTGAAGCGAGAACCGCAGCGGCACCTGGAAGCCTCCCCGCAGCCCAGAGACCAGGGTGCCGGCCAAGGCCCCCGCTCCCTCCCAACCCCGCGTTCACCTGGTCTTCCCCAGCTCCACGATGCAGCAGCCGTAGTCGGCGCCGAAGGAGATGCGCACGTTCCGGTAGTCATAGCACTGCCGCCCGTCCAGGCGCTGAGGGCCCAGAGACACACACTAGATTACTGCGCCATCCCTCAGCGGGGTGGGGGGCCGGAAAGGCGGGGAAGGCGAGCTCTGGATTGCCGCCGGACGGCGGCCCCCACCCGCCCCAGGGAAGGGGAGGGGGACAGGGAAGGGGAAGGGGAAAGGGAGAGCGTTACCGCACCTTCCTCTCCTCGATGGCGCGCAGGAGGAAGCGCCGCTCACAGTTGGAAAGCGGCGTCGCCTTCATGGCGGACGGCTGGCAGCGGCGCGCGGGAGGGCCACCGGCCGCGCGCGTGCGTGCGTCATCACCGCGCGGCGGCCGCGGGTGCCGGCGCGCAGGCGCTGAGCTCGCGCCGCGGGCGGGTCCTCTGAGGGTGGCCGGAGCCATCGCTAGGCCCGGGGGGTGGGGAGCATCGCCGCCGTCGGTCATCCTCCTTCGCTGCTCACGGGAGGGGCGCACAGGGGCCTGCCTCATCGCGGGTGCCGCTGCGGCTGCGGCTTGGCGGTCCGCTGCCCAGAGCGGGGGCCTGGGAGGGGGCGGTGGGAGTACCCGCCCCAGCGCGGCTGTGCGCGCGCCGCCAGCGGCCGAGGGGACGGAGGCTGTGCGGGCTTGTAGCGAAGTGCCGGTCGGCGGGGAAGGCGTCTGGAATTTAAAAAAAAAAAAAAAAACAAAACAAGTCGCATCCCAGACATTTCGAGTGCTTAACGTTGTTGTAGTGTCCAGCCTTCAAGAAGTGCATGCTCCTGCTGCCCGTAGAAAACAGCCAAGCTGGTAGCGCAAGCAAGGCAATTAGTGCTGTAGAGAAAAACGCAGCAAAAGCTTCAAAATTGTCAGAAGAACATCCTTTCCCGTTCTGAGGTGTTGTCTGTAAGTAAAAACTCAAGGCCTTTACATGGGGCTTTTGTGCTTACTTTGAGTTGAAACGAGAAAATCGATTACTGTATCTTCCCACCGGTGTTAAGCCCCAGATGATGCCTTTTTCACACCAAATTGTTGCAATATCTCGGTTATACTGTCTTTTTAAAACTTAACTTTTTAAAACTTTTTAATAACACACTTAAGTTCTAGGGCAGACTAAAAGGTGAGCCACACTTCAGAAACTTTTAAGTTTTTGCAAATGAGGACAAGCGCTGTCTGATTTTTCCATACAGGTTTTCTATTTTCAGAATTGGATAAATGAATATTGTCACAAATACTTATTGTAAAACAATATTGATAACATTACAAAAAAGCCACTTTTTCTCTAGGGACAAAAATAAGCAAATAGTTTTCCCAAATGGCACTATATGTGAAGAAACAATAAGGAACAAAATGATGTAACACTTGCCACTTTAGCCACAAATACAATATTTGGTGTAAGATTTTTTCTCACTGCAGCTATAGGATTGATTGAGTATTTTCCTTGGAGTTTAACAGGCAGTCCTCAGGTAGAAATTCTATCTGGTTTTGCTTTTTTTATTGTTTAAATTCAATAATAATATTAATTGGTGAAAGCTTGGGGCTAAATTCTGAAACTTCAGTTACTATCAACAACCTCGGAAGTGTTCGTATTGTTTGTAAGGAGCTGTCTAAACTATGTTACTTACCATCAATTACAAAAATGTCAATTTAGGTATATGCTGGGATTTGTGCTTGGGACTAGTGTGGGAAAAATTCCTGTCCTGGCTCTCCTGGTGAACTGTCACATGCATCAATCTGTCCCGCTGGTGGCAAAGCATCCTCTGACATCACTCCTCATGGCAGAAGTGAGTGACTGAGTGTTTGCACTGGTGAGGATCTGCAGTCTTGTTGCTTAGCAAATCACAGCAATAACTTTCTTGCGAAAGAAATTTTATAATGGCTTAGATTAAATAGTATTTTCAAAGGAGTCACATATTTGACAGTAAATCAGAATTACCAACAGTGTTGTCAGTCATTTCCATTAGGTTTTCTTTCACTATTACATGTTCTGTCAGAAACATTTCCAGAAGTGCTAATTATATCTTTATTGCCAGGGAGGGAGATATGGTGGATTTTTGCTTCTGAAGCTGGTCCTGTTCAAGATTAGTACACAGGGAAGTTGATGGTGAACTTCAGGAGGAGCTGGATGTGATTCCAGGGGAACCAAGTTGTGTGGGGAGGCTAGACACCAGCTAGCTCCTTTGATTGATGACGTCTTCTTTGCATAAAATCTACTTTGCAGATTTTGCGTGTGCCCGTGTGCTAGAAAGGGTAAAGAATTTCATGCACAAATTAAGTAGGCATAAAATCACAGCACTGGAAATCTGAAGCAGGCTACACGGAAAATAAGGTCAATATAATAGGTTAATGATCTAGAAGTTGAGCAGTTACTACATTTCTGTACAGTGAAAGGCAGAGTTACAATTGTAATCAAGTCATAGAAATACTCTGGATGTTTAAACCAGAAAGAAAAGGAATGAGTGAATAAATGCGTGAATAAATCACAGGCACTTAGGCTAAAGCAGGAATTGTCAGGAAAAAAAAGCCTAATGATCCATTGTGCCTACATAGAAGCATTTCTTTCTTTGAGGTGAATGCTCTGTAGGCTGAAATGCTTGAATTGGATTATCTTACCGAACTAAGCCATGAGGGAAAATCACATTTGAGGACTGAAGAAAAAAAACAAACTGCATCAGAATCTCAGCATCTGACAGCAAGCTCCCAGCAGCCATGTTTTATGGCCTAATAAACATAAATAAATAAATAAATAAATAAATCTTCTTTTTTCATGGTAGCCTTAACAGTAATGTGTCTTTGCGGGTTAGGTGCAAGTCCTGCTCTCCAGTGCCTCCGGTATACACGTTTACACATGTATGCACAACAAGGTGTATACAGTATTTCAGTTTATAAGATTATTTCGGAAGAAAAGCTCCACATAGATGTAGTAATATAATTTATAATTAGTTTTTATGAGAGCCTTCGAGGCTCTGAAACAGATACGGTTCCACATGGGTGGGAGGACAGGTAATCATTGCAAGCAAAGCAGCCAGCAGAAATAAAGCATGAGCGGTACAGCTTGCATACCAGCTTGACGCAGTGAGGTGTGGGGGATTCTGGCCCTCATCCAGAGAAACACTTAAACAAGCTTGCTATCTGAAGCACAGCCGTAAGCGGATTTGTCCCTTACTTATTAGGAGGAGGGGGTCACAGCTTGCATGGCTAAAATTGAGGAAAGTAGTTGCCTAATATATGTGCTCAAGTAATTTTATTCTGAAACAAGGACCCAGAACTGTCAGCAAATCATCCAAAAACCAGCTTAAAACAAGTTAGTAATAACTTCTGCTTCATCTACTTGCTGGATGTGTGTTTGATCATCTTTCATCTGCTCAATTTCTGAGTAAACCCCAAAATATTCTTGCTGTTTCCATCCATATTTAGCTAACTTCATGTAATCTCCTGGGCTTTATTATTCCTCTGAAAGAAGTCTTTTGCACCAAAGAGTCCCGCCAGAAGTTCTGATCCTGTGAACAGTGCTGCATTCAGCACTTCCCAGCTCTCAGCAATCCTTTTGGGAAAGTAGGAAGTATTTACAAGGCTGGGATCTAGACAAGAAACAAAGTTGGGGGAAAGGAAATTTCACCTTTTTTTGCTGCTGCCTGTGACACTGTAGTCTTCTGAAGAGCTACTGCCATGGTCAAAGTGCTGTCCTGCCACACTGTGAGTGCAATTCATTAATCAGCAGTTTTGAGTCTCAGCACAATAGCAAAATCCTGAGAGGTCTGCTGTCTCCACATACTATTTGTCAGACAGGATAAATACTGGCTTGATACAAGAACTCAGGAGTGTGAAACTGAGTGAGTATCGATTTGGAAACTTATTTTTTTTCTATTAGAAAAGAAGACAGAAAATGTTTACTGATGCCACGTATGTGTGATCTCATCCCATATACTGATACTCCTGCGACACAGAGAAAATCCAGAGTACTGAAAAGCTTATAGGTCACATCTGATCCGTTAGAGATGATAGCACATTTAATAAAATTGGGGGGATAATTTTCTCTTTTGAAACCTGAATTATTTTGGTTTATTCAGTTCAGTGTTATGCCACCCTTCTCACAGTCCACAGTTCTGTTAGTCTTGAATGCCAGATCACGCTGCTGCTGGTGTATTGGTGGCAGAAATACCTATGGAGCGCTTGGATAACGTGATCTGGATTTCTGCTGCCTATGAACTGAATTTGCCTGGCTTTGTAGCGCTAACAAACCACTATCATCCCCCATTCCCAGATTCCCCAAAGTGCCATTGTGACTCAGAGTGATAACTGAATGAATACCTATGCTCGGTTACAAACGTGCGAGGAAAATCTGACTCTGCATGTGCAGCATCGCCAGCTGTAACCACTAGGACAGCGTGTCTTGATGCAATTACAGGAAAGGTGGTATCAGCCCCTGGTTAAGTGGGGTAAATAATAAAAGATTGAGTTAAACCATTAAATCAGAACTGCTCTTTTCAATTACTTCTGCTTATTCAGCTTCCAAGTATCTGTTACAAACCAGAAATTAATCTGGACCACCTGATTACTTAAAACGCTGAAAGTCATCATCTTTTCCAAGCAAGTCTTTGTTGTTCTATATGGACAACCTTTTTTGAGACTAATAAATCTTGGTGCTAAAATGTTTAAGTCAGGAGATACATTTTAGAAAATTCGTGCATATGCCTCTTCTGAGTAATTCTGTTGCCGTTGTTCTGTAGAGCCTGACTGCTTCTTTAGGTTGTGTGTTATACTTTCCTTTACAGACTATAAGAAACAGCCTGCATTATTTAGGTATAAGATTGTAAAACATTTCAACAGTAAAAGAAAATGAACTATTTCTCTTCAGTACAGCTTTAAGAAATTTCAGAATTGTGTTTTGGTTATAAAGCCCACAAACAACTCCCCGGGCAATGTATATATTTGTTGATTCAGCTGATTTGAAATACAATTTCACATTGTATCTTAAAGCACGGTCACTGTTAAAAGTTAAAGGCATGGTTTAGGAGTACCTGCTGTCCTGTACTGCAGCCACCACGAGGCGTTGTATCACCAGTGTCGCTTGCACAAGGCCAGGCTGTCTCATGGAGCTTCTGATCAGTATTCTGTGCGTATCAAATGCAAGCGTTAATCTTGCCATATTTCCCAAAGATCCTAATCTCAATTCCTCATGAATCAATGCTAAATAAGAAAACTGTGTTTTGAGTAGTTCAATTTCTCACTAATAATCCAAGTGAAATGCAAAAGTGCTAATTATCGTGCCTGAGAGAATACAGAGCTGGGATGTGTGAGCACTGGAGAATGACAGATGCTGGCCTTTCCTTTTTCTGCCAGGTAATATTTTTGTATTACTGATGAAGATGTCAGAATTAAGTTTTGCTACATCAAGAAAAGGTGAATGATCATTTCCCCAGATTGCTTCAAATTGTTTATTGAGAATTATGAGGAAGTATTATTCTAGAGATCCAGTAAGGATAGAAGATTTGGTGTAAAATGGTAACCCAATATGTAGTTATGTCCTTAGCTCAGACTTGCCTGATGCTGTACTTATGTTAAGAATCTGGGAGGCTTTATGAAGTAGAATGTATGCATTTTGGATGTATTTCTTCATGAAGCAACACACTTTCTATGGCCCTGACAAAATTTCCAATATATGCAGCAGTACTTACGTTCACTCTGTGAAATTTCAGTTCCAATGCTTATAAATCCATGGAGTCATGGGGGATGTGACTTCAGCTGCGACAAATCATGAGGGCAAGCGGACAGATGGTACCCCAAAAGTGCGAGTAGGGTTTTCCCTAAGGATAGCAGCAAGCTGACATCCCTCCACTCCCTTTGCCTCATCTGCTCCCCTGCAGCCTCGGCGCACGAGTGGTCTGTGGGGAGCAGGGAAAAGC